ACAATTATCAAGTGAGTATTAAGCTGAAAAACTTCTTCCAAATATACATCAAATCACATCTAACATATACTAGATTCCGCAATGGGTAGTAATATTTTCTCAGAGTTAACATCAATCATGGGTGATGCCGTGGTGAATTTAATAGATTTCATAGTCTAGTATGTTTTTAATAATGTAACAACAGGCTCTTTCAAATGAAATTGGAAAAGGAGTAAAACGAACTGGATCTGATGAACCGCAAGGTCCTGTAAAAAAAAGTATGGTTGATTATAATCCATCAAAAGAACCTGCACCAATTTCCATTCCAAAGCCAGTTGATCAACCAAAATTCATCACTGCCAGTCAAATGATATATGAGATTTCCGACGAAGAATTACTTAAGATGGCAGTCGAGTTCGAGAAAAAACATCTTCAATAATTTTCATAAATAGTTTAATGAAATTCAAAAATATCGAATGAACAACATGCGTGTTTGTGTGCTGTGTATTAGTTTAGGAATGTAGTGTCCAACTGATTTATATGAAATTATAGCTTTTCCTTGTAGTCAACGTACATATACTTATCCTATATTGATTCTTATTAATAGAGCGTTATTATCATTCGATATTATTTCAGATAACAGATTTCAATCGATAGAAGCCGACGAAAAATTTATTTCAAGATCACTCATTATCAAACATCCTTAACTGAACATCGATTTGGATGTGGAATGTATCAATACCTGAACACTTTTCGTGTATTTCGTGTGCAATTTGGATTTCATTATGTTTAATGTGAGATTTTTATTTCACTCTATTTAGAAATTATTTCCCAAGTGAGTACTCATCTAACAATGATCATGAACTCTACAACAATTATTCACAAAATTCAAGAAAACGAAAGTTCATGCAAAATATCGGACTTCTATTGATTAACATGGAATCATATAGTCTTCAACATTTTCACCTTTAGTATCTTGATCTTTCAAAAGAATTTCTCGAAATCTTTTCTAGTTCGGTTTCTTACAGGTGTCCATACTATAAGAGTATGAAAGTATTTGCAATTTATTTTATGTTTAGTTTTCTTACATTTTCATAAACAGACAAACTTTTAAATAGAGTACAAGCCGTAGGTGTAAAAATAACCGTAAGAAAATGAGATAAATTAAACTTAAATCTTTGGAAAATATTATGAATCATAAATATTATAGTAACCCTATATCGACGAATGAAAAAGATTATTTTATAAACAGTTGTCAATCAACAGATGGCAGCTTTAACAGGACGAAAAATGTGTCGAAAATAGTGAGGTTGTCCTGGGGTCCACTCCGACCCACAGCTGCGTTTTTTTATCTATAAGAGTTATCTATGATTTCAAATAAGGACGATATAGACCAACATAAGACTAGAGATTAGATAAATGGACTAGTCCAACAGAAGAACTCTTGATGTACTTTTAAAGAAAAATCTGTGAAATGGGTCCGCATGGACACCCCCAACAACCACGAAGGGTTAAACAAGAATACGATTAGAGAAAGAATTGAAGCGCCGATGCGCCTCATTCCAACTATTAATTAAATATTTGGCCATATTCAGTCTTTTCATAGATCTTTTTTAATTAATAATCGCACGAATTGCATAAATAGATAAAGCACATGGTAAAATTTGAATATCAGCAAACCGAGCAACCGATGAAAATTTAGGTGCTCGGGCATAAGACAAACACACATATTCATTATCAATTAAATAAAACATATACGTAGATAATTCATTCTCACTTAATGATCTTTGAATATTGACAAATGAATGATGAATTCCATTGATATGCAATTGAAATTCTGATGAATATGTTAATATTGTATAAAACCAAGTATAAATTGGTATTTTTGTCTGTATTTGTGTTTGAAAAATGCCTGTATGCGGAAAATATAATTGACAATTCTGTTTACTAAGAGTCACGTTGAACAAAAACCATTCAATTTTATGTTAAATGATACTCTATCAAAGTTTGATTCAAGATAAAGCCACATACTAATTGAATATTCTTGATCATGCAAAGAATAAGTAAGTTTTAGTAAAACAGCCATAGAAGGATGCATACTATCCAATACAACATCGCCACCCCCCTTGTAAACGTGCAGGAACTGGATATTGAATATCGTAATCTCGTATTGATGGAAGACGATATCTGAAATCAATAGTCATTAGTAAGTGTCGGTGATATATTTTTTAAGAAAAATTCTCTACTTACAAGGACGTTGGTGAAGTATGATAAACAACCCAGTTGAGTGCGAATTGCTTTGCTTGTTGTTCAAAACGATTATCAAAATACTTTGCAAGAAAGCGTTCATTTGTTATAAATTCATACCATTTCCAACAAACAGCACGTGAACTGAACAAATCAGTTGGATTCACTTGTAAGAAAATACATTCGATGGTTTCAATTGGTAGTGTAGCAAACATTGTGTTGTTGATTTTAACTATCAGAGGTCACATAGAAGTGATGTATGTGAACTGTAGCTCTATACGGCCAAATGCAAAAAGGACGAGGTCAAATGAATCATTCATCCGGACGATCCCACGTTTGCACATATTCGATGTTGTCGAAGAAAATTGGTGATTGGAGGGAGAATGTGGTTAATCTTTTTTAACTTTCGTTCCACACCCACACCCCTCACCCTCAACGAATCGAAATTGAACACGTATTTATGCGTAAGTTCACGCAAAATAGTGTCAAATTTCGAAATAAATTTCTATCCAAAGAAACATATTTTACTGAGTAAATACGCGTTAAAATATATCAGATACTGTTGAATTACGAAATTTGTATCATAGCGAAAAAACGCTTTAAGTTTGACGTTTGAAAACGTGGAGAGGATGGCCCAAACTCTGCAAAAATATGAATCATACGTTAATATCGAAAAACGAATTAGACTTTAACGCGTAAATACGCGTCGAATAAGATAAATTCTTGTAAATGTAATAAATAAATTTTAATGCAGAAATCATCAACAATCTTCAATGCGTAAATTTGCGTAAAATAACGTCAAATGACGACGATTTATGAAGTACATCTCAAAAGAGAAAAACGGTACAATTTTAACGCATTGATACGAATTAAACTGAACAAAATAGCCCTAAATTATGAATGATATTATGATTGAGAAAGACGCGTTTGATTTCTAGGAGTAATTACGCTTCACTTTGAGGACGAAAACGACGATTTATGCGTGTAAACCTCAATGTAGAAATACGCAGTATAAACAGCTCGTATGAATACGAGCTGGTATTCCGTAAAAATGACGTAAATACGTTCGAGTATCGTAAAAACGACGTAATTACTAGAGGTAGACATAGTTCAGTTCACATGAACTGACCTGTACAAACAGCTCACCTGGACGAACTGAACTCTATGAAAATTTCTTTTCATCACAGCTGTTCGTACTATTCCCATAACACAACGATTTTACTCAACACCCGGAAGTACATTCCCCAAAACGGAACAATTTTGTTCTGTTATGGAAATAATTCGAACAGCTTTGGTAAAAAGAATTTTTCATAGAGTTCAGTCCGTTCAAATGAATTGTTCGTATAAGTTCGGTTCGTTTAGGTGAGCTGTTTGCACAGATCAGTTCAGAGGTAGGACAAGTACACGTACACAAAGTACACGTACAAGTACTTGTACGTGCATGGATATACCTGTACTTGTACTTGTACTTGCCAGAAAATACTTGTACTTGTACTTGCACTTGCCAGAAAATACTTGTACTTGGACTCGCACTTCTAGTAGAGTAGGGGTGGACCATTTAATTTATTTCTACTTAATTAACGGAGCCCGTTAATTGTTAATATTAACCTTAACGTAAACCGTTAACCGGTTGCACTTAACCGTTAATTTCTACTGAATTAACTCATAAACGGTTAAATAATCATAATCTATGATCCTTTCTGACAACTAATTATCTATACGACCCAGTAATAATTACATGTACCCTGGTAAGATACTCATCTCTC